AGTTTGTATGAGAATGTTTTCAGTGCCCTGAATATCTCAGTTTCCTTGTGTTCATGCACCAATGCACCAACCCTGGCTCTTCCAATCTTTCTGCCCTCTCTTTCACAATGGTCCCTGGATGTGGGTGGGTGAGGTTTAATATATAGAGTCCTATTCATGGAGACACACTCTGCAGTCTCTTGCTCTCTAAAACTTATCCGGTTCTGGCTTTCTGTGTACAATCACACTTTGTTGTATGAGGAAGCTTAGCTGGTTGAGGGATGTACTGTTATTTTCTCTACTGCCTGTTCCACTCTGCTCCATGAGCCTTAGATGTAGCAGTTCCACTGTAAATGTGCCATTTAGGGTGTTGTGTCTCTCCGATGTACATTCTTTATGTGTGACCAGTTGTGAAACTCTGTAATAGCTTCCATCTGTTGCAAAAAGCAACTACTTTGATGAGTAATGTACAATATACTTCTCTGTAAATATAAGGATACATATTTAGCATACGGTAAGAAATTTCACTTGAGATATGACAGAGAGGAATTTCTCTAGGATCTATGACCTCTCTGAGAATGTGTATTTGCCTATATTTACAATGCCACCCATGAGTTCCCTCCCATTGAGATGGGTTTAAGTCCAATTAGATAGCTGCTAATTTCCCTCTAGATAAAAGTGCAACTATTGCACCAATAGGGATAGTTTGTTGTGCCAGCTGTTGTGGTTATTGAATTTTAGAGCTGGATTGGAGCACCGATTGATTTTCTCTTTTACAAGCTTGCATAGTATACTCCAAAACTATGAGAGTTAGTCTTCAGAGAGAAGGCTTCCAGGTTAGTTCCAGCTCTATTGCTCCAAATCCTATGTCTGAATTATTTCCTGTCTTCAGCAATAGAATCTTACCTTCAAGTTCTGGGAGGTAAGCAAAGCCTATGGTTATAACCTGTGTTATTTTGGAAGTTTCTTTGATGACCTTGACTAACAACTTGAAGTTGTTGAGAAGACATTTTTTAAAAGTTTATTAGTATTTTACAAAAAAACTACAGGATACAGAAGTACTCAAAGATTGAAAAAAAACTCAATTTAAAATTTAGATTTCCCTGTCAGATAACCATCTCTCATGGAATTAAATATGAATAATATCTGTATAAGAATTTATTTTGCATTAAAAATGTGTTATATATTGAGATAGGATTCAAAGAATGTACATGAAGTGGACTATATATATGAACTCATTATTATGCCTTAAATTATCCATTCTTATTTCCATTTCTAGATATTATAGTATAATAACACTTGCATTTGTTTATGTATTCACATGTACACATTATAGGCTAAGATCTGCATATGAGGTAATTTTTTTTTCTTTCTGAGATTGGGTGACTTATCTTAATACTACATATTCTAGGTCCACCCATTTTCTTAAAAAAATGTGATTTCACTTTTCTTTAGATCTGACTATTCTGTTTTATATATGTAGTAGATTTTCATTATCTAGTCATCTGTTGATGGACAACTAGATTGGCTCCATTTCTTGCTTTACTGAACAGAGCAGCAATAAACCTGGGGGTGCAACTATATCTGTGATAAGTTATGGACCTTTATGGGTATATGCCCAAGAGCAAGTAATTTGGATTATATGGTAGCTCTATTTTGAATTTTTTGAGGAACCTCCAAAATTAATGCAAAGATGTATTAAATATGTATTAATGTAATACCTATTAAATCCCAATGTCATGTTTTATAGAGCTAGGAAAAATACAAGTCAAGAATTCATATGAAACCATAAGAGACTAGGAATACCCACAGCAATCCAATGGAGTAAGAACACAGCTTGAGTCATCACAATACCCAACTTTAAATAAAAAGCTATAGTGATAAAGACAGCTTGGTACTGGCATAAAAGCAGACAGGTAGCCCAATGAAAAGAAGAGAAGACCCAGAAATAAATAGACAAAGCTATGATCACCTAATTTTGACAAAGGAGGCAGACATATGCAGAGGAAAAAAAAATACAGCCTACTTAACAAATGTTGCTGGCAAAACTGGGTTTCCACCTGCAGAAGAATGAGATTAGAGTCCCAAATTTTACCTTGTACAAAAGTCAATTAGAAACTAATCACAGACCCTGAAACTTCTAGATGAAAATATAGGGAATACTAAATAGTGTAGGTAAGAACTTTCTGAACAGAATATCAATAACACAGGAAATATCCGTTGAGTATCAGCAGATATGACTATATAAAATAAAAAGTTCTATACAGCAAACTATCAGCAGAGCACACAGCCAGCCTAAAGAATGGGAGAGAATCTTTACCAGCTTTAAATCTTTGCCATCAGATAAAGGGCTAATATCAGGAGTTATGTCTGAAAGTTGCTTTTGGTAACAGCCATTCCCATTTCCATCTTCTAGGATCTTCAAATTCTAGCTTTAGCGTCTTGAAGTTTCTACCATAGAAGTCTTTTACATTCTTGGTTAGGTTTGTACCTAGGTATTTTATTATTCACTTTAGACAACTGAGAGTGGAATATTTTTCCGAACGTATTCTTAGAAACTTAGTTGTTGGTGTATAGAAAGCCTACTGATCTCTGTATCCTGCTACTTTGCTGAAAATATTTATGAGATCTGAGTTTATGGTAGCATCCTAAGGGTCTTTTAAATATATGATTATGCCATCTGCAAATACAGGTACTTTAACTTCCTACTTTCTTGTTTATGTCCCTTTTGTTTCTTTCTCTTGTGTCATTGCTCTAAGATTTTGAGCACCACGATGAATAAGTATAGAGGAAGTGGAACTGTCTCATTCCACATTAGGGAGAACATGGTTTCAGTCTTTCCCCACTCAGTATGATGTTGACTATAGGTTTGTTATGCACAGCTTTTTGTATTCAGATTTATTTATGCTATTCCTTTTTTCTCTCAGGGTCCTTGCTATGAAGACATGCTGACATTTGATAAATGCCTTTTCTGTATCTATTGAGACGATCATGAAGTTTCTATCCTTAACTATATTCATACCTTTATTTGCATATGATGAATAAATCTTGTATCTAAGGGATGAAACCAAATTAATCATGATGTATCATCTCTTTAATATGTATTTGATTCAGTTTGCAAGCATTTTATTAAGAATTTTTATGTTTATAAAAATAAACAGGCAACAGGTAAGCAAATCCCTTAATGTTTCAGATCATGCTGACCTCTAGAAGCTGAAAATTGGGAACAAGAAGATCCTTATGTCATTTCAGCTGAAGTAGCTCATAGCCCCATAAAATAGTCCTGAGACCTTGACAGAACCACAGGGAAGTAAGGAATTGGTGCACATGGCAAAGCAGGCCTGGGTTCAATGTGGAAAATCTCATGATAACCAGGCTACCAGAGAGCAAATATTCTCTCTAATTGGCTTTTGTCCTTCCACCTCTAATCTCAGCCACATATTTAAGAGAATCCCATATTGCTATCTCACTTTTGTGACTGGTTAGGCAGGTTCATGATCCAATGCATACAGTTAATAGCACACTATGTGAAATTCTTTGTAAAAATATAGACAGTTTCAACCTTGACAAGAATTCTGTCATCTTGAAAGATCTATGTGAAAGTCAAAGGAAGAAACTTGCAAGGTGGAATCTGCTACCTCAAGATAAGTCACTTTTATAGTCAGATCTGTTCAACATGGTTTATGAAAATTAGTCTCTCCCATTCTTTGCCTATCTATTTCCCTCAATTCTACACCCTAAAAATTTGTGTTTTTTCTCAGTTTTTCTTTTTTCTTATCCAAATTCTCTGCCCCCTTGAGAAAAGAACACTTTCAAACTTAAATTGGCAGGTGTTAGACTGGAATGAAAGGTTGTGGTTGAATTTCAATGTATGTGCCTTAAATTCTGTTATTTTCTATTTTCTACTTGTAAAATGGGGATAATAGAATCAGCTAGAAGGAAAAGAGATTATATACAAGCCTGTAAGATTTTAAAACTCAGAAATTGAGATCTGGACAAACTAAATATTTAGTGAGTTTCTGGTTTCCTAATATGAAAACATGCTTTTCCATGTTTCCCAATTTCATACCTCCCCAGAACTCTTTTCATTTCATTTTTGCTTACCAGGATTCAATCTCTAAAGTAATAATGGTTCTATTTTACTTCGATATGATGTTTTAGCTAGTGACTTGTAGTCATGAGAGAAAAAACAGGCCTTAATTATATGATAGCATACTCTTCAGAAGAGCATTTAACATTTGTGGTTGTCAGAAATTAGTGAGAATTATAATCTAACTCTAACAGACAATCACTGTGTACTTGAGTGTGGGCTGAGCTTGTTCATGAGTTACTATGTGTAGTATCTCAGTAGCCCTCTAAGATTCCATTGTCCTCATTTTACAGTAGCTAATCAGGATTATTGTGTTGAAGCCACTGGAATAATTTAATACAGAGCAAAGAGGATTGTAAATAAAATGCCAAATTACTAAAATTCTTGTGAGTGCCCAGTTGACTACAAGGAAAATGCCCCCGAATTGAGACACACTTTGGGATCCAGAGTGGGCTATTCCTTTAGGAATCCCTCATATGAATATGATATTATTCCAGCCAATTTGGAGATGTCATGTTAAACAAAGTTGTAAATATTAGGGAAAATTATAAATTGGGGAAATAATTTTTCTCAATAGTCAAAGAACATTTTTAAATCAACTTCAGTAACAATCCAGGATGGAAAGAGCACATATGTATTCATGTGTGTGTGTGTGTGTGTGTGTGTGTGTGTGTGTGTGTGTATACATGCACTTCTATGTGGGTGTACAAAAGCAGTATGATATTTTTTTCATAAAGACTTTCTCTCCCTGAGCAGTTTAAAAAAGTCATTGGGTTTTAAGTATCTCTTGCTATGGTTTAGATTGTACTTGTCCCTTACTAGAGCTCATTGGAGAAGAAAATGAGGAATGAGAAAATGGTAATGCTCTAGTTTAATCTGAGTCTCCAGTGAATGCTCTTGTTTCCTTTCTGACATTAGGAGCACAGAGGCAATGACTGGGGGAGGAAATATTACTGAGATCACCGAATTCATCCTCCTGGGATTCTCAGATTTCCCCAGAATCACAGCACTGCTCTTCAACATATTCCTGCTTATCTACACCGCACCTCTGACCTGGAACCTGTGCCTCATTGTTTTAATAAGGATGTATTCCCACCTCCACAGCCCCATGTATTTCTTCCTCAGTAATCTGTCCTTCACAGACCTCTGCTTTATCTCCACCACAGTTCCCAATGTGCTTTCTCACTTATTTAAGGGAGAACAAACTATCAGCTTTGTGGGCTGCATAGTTCAGTACTTCTTCTCTTCCACCCTTGCACTGAGTGAATCTTACCTCATGACAGCCATGGCCTATGACAGGTATGCTGCTATTTGTAACCCACTGCTCTATTCTTCCATCATGTCACCCACCCTCTGTGTTCAGATGGTCATGGGAAGTTACACAGTTGGACTCACAGGATCTTTATCTCAGGTTTGTGCTTTGCTGAAGCTCCACTTCTGTGGACCTAATGTCATCAGGCACTTCTTCTGTGACATATCCCAGCTTGTACATCCCTCCTGCACTGGCAAATTCTTTGCAGAAGTCCTGCTTGTGATATTAACAATGATGTTTGGGATAGCGAATGTATTAGCTATCATGATATCATATGTTCATATCATCTTCTCTATCGTGAAGATCACGTCAGCTAAAGGCAGGTCCAAGGCATTCAACACCTGTGTTTCTCACCTGACAGCTGTTTCTCTCTTCCATGGTTCTGGAATATTTGTCTATTTGAGTTCCAGCACTGGTGGCTCCTCCAGCTTTGACAGATTTACATCTGTCTTTTACACTGTGATTATTCCCCTGGTGAATCCCTTGATATATAGTCTGAGGAACAAGGAAATCAAAGACACCGTTAAGAGGTGGCATAAGAAGACAGGTTGCTACATTCTGAGATTACAGAATCTGAGATTCTGGTCACAGATTCTGAGATTACTAAAATGTGTCTAGTTGGAATCATTGCTGTCTACTATATTGTGCACATAACTGGGATGCTGCAGAATTCATGGGACTTTGGATGAAGATGTCTTTCTTGGATGAAGAGGGAAACAGCTGTCAGGTGATTTGAAGTTGCTAATATGCCAGTTGGATGAACATCTGACTTGATACAGAAACATTAAATCTTTAAGATCTCAGGGTCATAGTGACCATATTATGTAAAGATCGTCTCATCACACATCATTTTATCTACAGATATTTATGAAAAAATCAATGTTTAGAAACTTTTGTGTAAGATTGAAGAACATTAACTCTCAGAACTCTACCCCTGAAGACAAATCCTGTACGAGACTTCCAATGTCCAAAAACCTTGTCCCACAAATATTGTGATACAGTGAGTATAGACCTGGTATTGACCATTGATTAATCTGTGTTTCTTAGCAGGTGAGAATGAACATACTGAGCAGACTTATTTAAAAACAAATAGAGCTGTACATTCATTTTATTGTACCTTGTAGAAAGACCAATATGAAACACCTAACTTTTGTCCAAGGAAGTCACTACTAATAATTTAGTAATTTGGGGGGCAATGATTGTTTCCACCAGTTATAGCTTGAGGACGGGGAAGTGGTTTGATTTATGAAGAAAGATGGTAAGAAAGATATTTCTTCAGTGCATGTACTTGGTATTCTGATGGTTTAATTTCTGGCATCTAGAAATGTCATGGGTTATAGCAATATCTTATGGGACACCGTGAATATCTGTGGTGATGGGACCCTGACCTCCCTTACTCTCCTACATTACATCAAAACAGATATCCTGGGATTGACACAGCCAATCAGATAGTCCATCAAATATATTTTGATATTTCAGTCATCTGGTCAAGTTTGGTTTAAGAAGACTTATGTGATTTAATTCTCATACTAGTCAAGAATATTCAACATTGCAGAGATCAATGACACATGACAGAGTGGCATTTTCTTAAGCTGTATGTGTATTCAGCCTTTTTCATTCTAGTGTTTTACAGTTGTGTGAGATTGATATAATGGATATAGTAGAAAAAATAAAAGTTTAAACTGATATTTTACAGTGCTGTAGTTGACATGACCACCTGGTATAAAATGACCACTACCCCATGAAGCTGAGTGGCTATATTGCCCTACAGAATACAGTGGCTCACAGTTATGGGAACCAAATAATCAGAAGAATGCAGTAATGTCTATGGAAATGGTAAAAGTAGTGAGGGAATTAACATCCTCTACTGAGCCAGGTGCAGTAGTAAATAACTGTAATCCCAGTACTTAAGGTTGATGCAGAATTAACATAGGTTTTAGGCCAACCTGGGCTACATAATTAGTTCCAGCCCAATTTATGCTATAGAGTGTGACCATGTCACACACAAATGAATGAATGAACATATTAGCAAACAAACTCCTCCTAGAAAGAGAGGATCAGAAGACCCTCCCTTGAGATACCAAAGTCCACTTCCACCACCCCAGGTTCACATAACTGCTACACATGCTCATTTTGTTGCTAGTGTATATAGGGCATGTGATTGACTAGCTCCAGTGGTGCAGCCTATAAATCAAACATGATTGGGAAGGGGATTTTTTGATGTGGTGGCTCAAGATTCATCCATGTTCCTGTAAGTGAATCTAATAAATGCTTTGTTTCATCAAACTGGAATTGGATGGAATCCTTTCTTTAGCCTGTTGGTGCCTTCTCTTTCTGCAGTGAGTAGATGTTTATTTACATTTTCTTATGAAATGTCTTTCAATGTTTAAGAAGCTCTAAGCACCAGGAGTGGCTATGGGTAGATGTACAGATTTCATTTCCATTTCTGGCCAGGAATCTTTAAAAAAAATTTTTACTGCGATTAGAGATATGGCTCAGCAGTTGAAAGCACTGGCTACTCTTGCAGGGGACTCAGGGTTGATTTCCAGGACTCACATCGTAGCTAACAACCATCTGTAACTCCTGTTCCAGAATTTCCAACACCCTCTTCTGACCTCCGTGGGCATTGCACAACACGGGTGCACCTACCTACATGCAAGCAATACACTCATATACATAAAATAAAAGAATAAATAAAATCTTTTAAAATCTATTGATTTTTTCAAGCTTTCTACAATTTATTTTATTGATATTTAGACCCCTCCCCTATTTACATACCTCTTACACACCCGCATGAGTTTTCATAAACTCTATCATATATATTAAGGCCTATCAAGCCAAGTTTGTGTCTACAAGTGTCCTTAAGTGTGCGTCCACCCACTGGAGCCTGGCTAACCTATTTAGTATCACACACTCAAAGAAAACTAGCTCTCCCTCTCCCAATAATTATTAGTTGCCAAAAGTTCCTCAGCTAATGTTGGAGATTCTTCCCCACTTCCCTACTTCTATGCTGGCATTTTGTCTGGTTTGAGCTTGCATGGGTCTTGTGCATGCTGTTACCATTGCTGTAAGTTCATATAAGTAACTTCCCCGTTGTCTGGAAAACTCTTGTTTCTTTGTGATTATCAACCACCTCTGACTCCTACAATCTTTCTGCCCCCTTGTCTGCAATGATCCCTGAGTTTTTGGTGGCAGAGGTTTAGGTGTCCTGCTCAGGGATAAATTCTCTTCAGTCTCTTATTCTCTGCAATTTCTGGCCAGCAATCTTAAGTTGAACACAAAGCTTGTAGTTCTGGGTCTCTGGTTTAAAACAGGACGGTGATGTGTAAACAACAATGACTACTGATTTGCCTTATTACTTAAGTTTAAACAAACTGGCTAGTATCTGTGTTATTATATTTACCTGTTATCACCAAATAGTCATTAGATTTTAAAGTTGTCTTGGAGTCTAAATTTTGATGAATCTCAGGAGATACTTGGAAACCATGTCAAATCTTCATTGAAATCTTGCCATGTGACCAGAATTGAGAATAGAGGGGGTATTGTAGAATTTCTGAGATGATATGAAACACCCCTTGTGAAGGTTATAATGCAGTATGAAAAGATATGTGTCCACCCACACAAGTATAGTCATGTGCTTTGAACCATTGTTTTTTAAAGATGTTTAAAGGCATGAGAAGTCTGCTGCCAATGAGCCATGAGACCCAAGTAACTGAAAAACCTCCATTAGTGTTTACCACAGCTATTTCCATAGTAGTGCATGGATCCGTCCTTTGCTGGGATGAGATATACCCAAGGAGATGATGAACAGGAGTTGCTTATAAGATTTAAACTTAGCCTTCTGAGAACTATGGTGGATGAGTGAAATACTTGTGAGGTGTTATCTTCTGAGACCTGACCACATGGGCTGTTTTGAAGAACTGTTGTCCATAGGTTGTGATGGGTGCTATCATTAGAATATTAATTTAGAGAAAGAAATGTGTGAAGGAGAGAACACTTTTGGACTTGGTCCTGAAAATTTGGTACAGTGGCACATTCTAGACTGTACTGTTAGCTAAACTGCCTATTGTAACCAAGCCATCATATCGGAATAAAAAGAGAGTTATAGATTATTTCCAATAAGTATACAGTGATTTAGCAATATCATATACATCCAAAGAAATGGTCACCCTCCATCACTAATGTTTTCTAGACAAGGTCATCAGGGTTTGTTGTAAGAATGAAAAGAAAACAAGAATGTCTGTGTTCAAATTTGACTAGGAGCTAGAACTCATAAATTTTTTTAAAGCTGCCTTTTTTTCTTTTCTAAAAAGTATTTTATTTATTATTTTTATTTTATGTGTATGACTGTATTGCCTGCGTGTATATGAGTATACCCATATCGTGCAATGCTGCAGAGATCAGAAGAGGGCTTCGGATTCCCCTGAAACTGGAGTTAAAGACAGTTCATAGCCGCCATGTGGGTGCTGGTAATTGAACCTGGGTCCTCTGCAAGAGCAGTCAGCCCTCTTAACTGCTGAGCCATCTCTCCATCCCCACTCATAAATATTTTTTAATCTGTAATTTAATGGTAGTTTCATGCAAGCTGATTGTGATAGTCATGATGTTTAAGGGAAGTGAGAGGTAAGAAGTCATTGATTAGTGGGCCTTATAAAGAAGGTGAAAGAGACATTCTTGAGTTTCTTTTTGCTAGATTAATATGAGAAAAGAAAAGTGGATTTCCCAGTGGCATGTAGGTCTATTGAGCTGGCTGTTCAGTGGGTTGTCAATCAGAATCGTGGAACACAAGAATGAAAATTTGAATTTTACTTTACTTTTTTATTTTAGCTGTTATTTTCTCTCTGTGTGTTTGTGATGTGCATATATGTTCATGTGGCTGTTTGTGCATATGAGTGTGCATGGATCTGTGTGTGTGTGTGTGTGTGTGTGTGTCTATGCACTTGTGGAGGCCAGAGATTGATGTCAGTTTTCTTCTTTGATCACTTTCCACCTTATTTTTTGAGACAAGATGTCTCACTGAACCTACAGCTTATCATATTGACTAGATTTGTTGGTCAGAAAACTCTGGGGATCATCCTCTCTCCATGTGCCCTCAGTGTTTGCTGCCAAACTTAGCTTTTTACGAGACTGACAGAGAATCAGAACTCAGGACTTTATGCTGTGTAGAGTTCATGCTACTGACTGAGTAATCTTCTTACTCCTCAACTGTGGATTTTAATGTAATGAACTCAAATTTGTCTTTGAAGTAGCTAAATGTCATAGAGACTCAGGGTGGGGGTTCATCCCATTTAATATTTTCTTACACTTGAGTTCCTGGCCCATGTAAATACCCTAAACACTGGTAGCAGTCCTAAAGTCCTGAGTGCCTTATCTTCTTAAGGGCTTTCAACTCTGTTCCATAAATGGTATTTAAAAATAAAGATCAAAGTCATTATTCATTAAGATTATTTTAGGAAGGCTACCTGGGCTGTGAGATTAGTACCAAAAATTAATAGAAACTTGAAGTCCAGCAAGTTCTGGTATTACTCAATCTAAATCTCCCCTTGTTCCTGACAGTGTCAAGGTATAATGAAAAGTAGGATAGGTATTCTATACAGAGCCAATGTCATGTGAAAGGC